GCTATGTGTATGGACTCGTAGGTGCCGATTCTATGGAAAAAAAATGATGGGTGCTTAGCATCCACCGGCAGTCCCCCTATCAGTGCCTCCCTCTCTCCCCAGTGCCTTCCACCCGCTGGCAGCCCCGCCGATCAGCACGTCCCCCTCCTCCTGCACCTCCCGCCCGCTGCAATCGGCTGTTCCGCAGCATGCAGGAGGCACTGGAGGACAGGGGAGGAGTGAGGGCTGGGCATGCTTGGGTTAGGAGGCGGAACAGGCTGGGAAGAAGCAGGGAAGAGGCGGGATTGGGGTGGAGCAGGGGCGGGAAGAGGCAGAGTGGGGATGGGTCCCAGGGCCACCCAGAGGATTCAGGGGGCCTGGGGTCTTCGGTGATGGGGGTCCTTCCACTCTGGGTCTTCGGGGCACTTTGGCAGCGGGTCCCGGAGCGATTGAAGGATCCGCCGCCAAACTGCCGCTGAAGACATGGAGCGGAAGAAGCCCTCGCTGCTGAACTGCCATCGAAGACCCGGAGCAGAAGAAGCCCTCGCCGCCGAATTGCTGCTGAAGACCTGGAGTGGAAGAAGCCCTCGCTGCTGAATTGCCACTGAAGACCCAGAGCAGAAGAAGCTCCAGGTCTTCAGCAGCGGGTCCTTCACTCGCTCCAGGTGTGTTCAGCGGCACTGAAGGACCTGCCGCTGAAGACCCGCTGAAAACTCTCGTGGGGGCCCCTGAAAACTCGTGGGGGCCCCTGCAGGGCCCGGGGCCTGGGGCTTGGGGCAAATTGCCCCACTTGCCACCCCCTCTGGGCAGCCCTCTGGGGCAGAGCCAGCGGGGAGCACCCCTTGGCACATTAGAAACTCGGCGCGTATGTATGGACTCATATTTCATAGGATGTAAGGCTGGAAGGGACCTCCGAAGTCATTTGGCCAGCCCACTGCCCTGAGGCAGCACTAAGTACACTTATGCCATCCCTGGCAGGTGTTTGTCTGACCTGTTTTTAAAAACCTCCAATGACAGAGATTCCACATCCTCCCTTGGAAGACTATTCCAGTGCTTAACTATCCTTATAGTTAGAAAGATTTCCTAGTATCTAACCGAAATCTCCTCTGCTGTAGATTGATCCAATTATTTCTTGTCCTATCTTCAGTGGGCATGGATAACAATTGATCACCGTCCTCTTTATAACAGCCCTTAACATATTTTAAGTCTGTTATTAGGTCCCCCCCTCAGTCTTCTTTTTTCAAGACTAAACATGCCCAGTTTCATTAACCTTCCTTCATAGGCCAGGTTTTCAGAATAGAAGTGGCTAATGTTGTTATGCTAAAATCAGTTTGTTACCATACTGATTCTGTGCTTGGGTCACCTTATGCTAATTTTACGGTAAAATAATTCTGTTGTGCCTGAGTGCAAGAAGAGAATCAGGACCACAAAGAAAGGCAGACGATGGAAATGATATGAAGAAAATATGAGGAATAATATGAGCCAACTAAAATATCTGTAGACAAATGCAAGAACAAGGGAAACAAAGGAGAGGAATTAAAACTAGTATGAATTGAGGGTGATTACGATTTTGCAGAGATGTGGCGGGATAGCGATTGAAAGTAGAATGGCAGGCTTTTCTGCATGCATGTAGTAATTGAGGCTGGGATTGAGGCTCATTTTGAAAATCCCAGCCTACATGCCTTGCTGAGCACAGTTCAAATACAATAGAGGATTTGTGCACACACGTTGGGTGTTGGCATATATAAATTAGGCACACACAAGTGTATGGCTACAATTGCACTGCTAACTTGGAAAATCTGTTTCGTAGTGATTAAGGTGAAACCAGAGCAGTATAAAAATTCACCAGTAAGGCAGAAGGCTGGGACACTGTAATTAAGGCCTAATAAAGGGCAGCTCTCTTACAAAAGTTTCTTGCATTATTTAGTAACTGTCTTGACACAGAATGAGCCTGCAGGGAGACAATATTTTCTAGCAGGAAGATGTGGAAGCTCACTGGGCTCAACGGTAGACAATGGCAGACTATCCTAGTGGGTCTCAGATACAGAGCAAGAGCATTTTAATTAGCTTCTAGCTATTTGGGGTGATGACTGGACCAGGACAGAGCTCTAGTTACTGTACCTCCAATATCTATGCCAAGGGGGGTGATCAGGTCTAGAGAGTGTCCAGCTGAGTTGCATAGGTCTGCAGACTGTTCAGGAGGGCATGGTTGCCCTCCTGGGCAGAAAGTCCACAGCAATATTAACAGCACAGAGCTAATCTTCTCAAGTTTACCATGCCTAAGACTAATCTTACAAGATAAATTAATTACATATATCATTATTTATTTACCCAAAATGAATATAAAGGGAAATAAAAATAAAAAGAGAGAGGTGCTTCTATGTTAGGAATAAAGCCAAGTTGTGCAAATGTTCTTCTAATTCTCCTGTACCAGTTTTCAAAAAGTTATGTCTAGTTGGTGATTATTTACATTTTTAAAAATAAGGATAATTAAAACAGTAAGTAATGAGGTGGTGGGAGGATTACATGTTCCTCCTCCTATTCCTTGGATGGAAATCAGAGGCTTCAAATGCTAGTGTAAAAGATAAAAGGCTTGTTGTGTTGGCAACTTTACAATGGTTTTTCAAGCCTGTCAGATAGTCCTGCTGTGGCATCAGTCATTGTTCTTCTGGCTGCCATATTCTTCTCTGATTTGATTAGGAAGATTCTATCATTATTTAAATTATTTTTCCTTCCTAAATTAAATTGACAATAAGAATCTGCAGATCATTGTCTTTAAGTGAGAGAATCCATCTATTATTTATTAACATCTTCTAGCCCTGTCATTGCTACACCTCTTACAGAGAAACTCAACACACTATCCCTGGCAATAAAAATAAAATACATTAAAATGCTACCTTGTATTGAACTAAAGTATTGGAAATGCAAAGCTCTACCTTGATGTTGGGAGCAAGGGGCGGGGGGGAGAGGTGTATGTTTGTGTTACTGCAGTCAAGAAACAGAACCAATTCTTTTCAAAGTAATTGGCTTCCTGCTGTCATAAGTTCTGAGGAAAGTTTGACATGTTTGTGTTTAGCTGTGTACTCATGTTGTAGTTACGCATAATAATGCACTGTCCATATTGGACAGATGAACTTCCTCAATCAAAAGTGAAATATGCAATGTCTCTCCAGCAATCCACATACCAAGCCAAGTGTGGGTGTGTTGCGCAATATATAGCCTCTGTGTGTGTGTGTGTGCCTTTAAGCTATTTCCTTTGGGAATAGGGCTGTGAAATCTCTATGTGGCTAAGTGAAGAAGAAGTAAATAGAATTCTGAAAGAGTTCAGCTACAAAGTTTACAATAGAGAGTGCTGAAATCCTCGCTTGGAAGAGTTTGGAAAGGAGGCATGCCCTCAAAGCAACTCTAATTCTTTATCTCAGTCTAGGGGTTCAGAAATAGATTTCCCACACCATCTGGCAGGAAAAAAAATACTGTAACAGGCTGAGACTGTAGAGAGGAAACAAGTCATTGACCAAAGGTTTTTCACTCAAGCGTCATTGAATAGCTATCAGCCTCCTTCCCATCCTGGAGTGCTCAGATTACTCAGTGAACCTCTTCATCAAAGTACAAAATTCAAGGATGCATGTATATGTGCAGGAGGGTGTGGGTTAGGCTTTAAAATAAAGCGATCGATGGCTGTAATTGAAAAAGAAGTCTGGTTAGTTACACTAAAACAGCATGTGACAAACAATACACAAGAAGAGCTCGAGTTTTGCATTAAATCACAAGGCAATTATAATCAAAGGGAGCCTGGCTAAATGTGATATGAAATCCTGAAATTCCCTTGGGATAACATAGCCCTGTAGGTCTCTTCCTGACTCATGAGTCTGCATCACATTGAAAGAGGAAAATAGGACACATTAGCTGATAAAATGTAGATAAAGAACTAATAAACTCCTCACTATTAGTGGTTGACTGTACAATCATCTAACTCCCTTCTCTTTCTTCCTTGTCATACATACATTTCTAAAATATTCGGAGGGACAAATTCTCCCCTCCTTTACACCCGAAGTCAATAGAGTTTTGAAATGTAGCTGAAGGCAGAATTTGGATGGAAAAGCATGGCTTACTTGTGCTTATCTATCAGTCAAAGCACAGTGTCTGTGCTTGGCAAGTGATAAGTCATAATAACAATAACTCATAATAATCTGTCTTTGCAACAGGTTTATTTTGCACATGATTATTGGATTTTCTTCTGTGTGGCTAAAGACAAAGATTGCAATCAAAATAAAATATGGCGATAAATATTCTAGGGAAATGAAAGAAATACAAAGGTGATTAAAAATGATCCTTCTATTTTGAAGACAAACTGTCTAAATATCAGAATAGCTGACGAATATCAAAATATTAAGGGCATGGCTGTTTGTCATATCTACACTGTTTTCTTCATTGTTTTTGCTGCAATTCCTCATCTTGTATTGCTTCTGTCTAATATTAATTGTTGTTTAAACGGCACATGACTCATTTAGAGACTGATCCAACATTAACTGAAATCAACAGGAAGATTCCTATTGTCTCCAGTGGGCCTTGGATCTGGCCCTACTTTAATGATTTGGTGCGTGTGTATGTCTATATATATATATATATATATAATCAGTGTATATTTCTTAAGCATATGAATAAGTTATGGTTTCATGGGCAGCAGGTATCGTAGGCCAAGAGAGGCTGAGCCTCCCGAAACAGTCTTGCCCTGCCAGTGCTCCACCCCCAAGTTTCCTCCTGCTTCCCACCATGTTCTTTCTGCATGGCCGGGCTGGGGCTGGGGCTGGGGCTAGAGAGGAGGTCCGGGACTCCAAGTGGCTGGGGCCATGCTTCCTGCCTGCCTGGAGCTCTGGGGTTGAGGGAGCCGTGTCTCTCACCTGCCTGGTGCTCCGGGGCTGGGAGCCGCACTGCCTGCCCACCCGGCGCTCCAGGGCTCAGGGTCCTGGGCATCCCACCAGGCACTCCAGGGATGCAGGTGCTGGGGGCTGGGCAGCCTGCTCACCTGGTGCTCTGTGGTGGCCGCAGTGGTGGAGCTCTGTGCTCCGGCAGGGGTGGGGCCTCGGGCATAAGGTGCGGGGCTGGGGACTAGCCTCCCTGAGCCGGCAGTTCACGCGCCACCAATGAGTTTTGGTTTTCTTTTTACATTGTTAAATACATTGTTAGGTACTTGGGAAAGTTGCCAGATGGGCAACACTGAAAATTCAGGCACAGAACTCTTGGCATTTGCAAACTTCCCCTCAGTGCCTGGCCAATTTGCCTATACTTTCACAGAGGGCCCACCTCTAAAGCTGAGAGGATATTTCAGTCTCCGGGTGCAGGGAAATGTTCCACTCTCACCAGAAACTACCAGCAATCATGCCAGATGCAGCTGAGAGCTGTGTGGGCACTTACCACTAGGAATTGGCTTAAGACCACCAGCATATTTTCTAAAGGCCACACAACAGACATCACAATTTTAGTTCCAAAATTCAGGTCACTACTACTAACCTGCTCTAGATTCCAATTAGTGACCTATGGTAGAGGTGAAAGACTGAATATCCCATTACCAACTCCCTGAGTTCTTCAGTTTCCCAAAGCAATTTTATTTTGCTCCAAGCCTGCTCTTCCAAACTACTGATTTTATATTTTAGCTGAGCACAAGCAGGATTTTAGTCATTAAGTGTAAGCACAGCATTTATTTTATTGTGTAAAAATCAACTCACCCAATACCCAGCACAAAGCCTGGATAATTGAAATTTAAGCACAGTACTCTTTGGGGGTTTAATAATAAAAAAATAATAATAGGGCATAGAATTAATCCCATCACACTCCCATGGGCAATCTGCAGATCTGCAGAACAATTCCTATATGGCAACTATTCCAGCTTGGCCACCATATGAACTCTCCATCTGTACTTCCCCTCCTATACTGTTAGGGGCTATGATGATCTTAGGTGGTGTAGAGAGCTTTGTGCGGTATTTCATCCATATAAATATATTTCCCTCAAGTCCATGCTATGAAATGATTTATGTCAATATTATCCAAATTCAGCAGAACAGACCGTATAAGCCTCAGGAAATCCTTGAAACATCTGAGCTTACTGATCTTCTGACAATTCTGAAAAGTCACAGAGGACTGAGGAGGTAGTATAATGTACCAATCCTCAAAAAGGAGAGACAGCTGATTCTGGCAATTGCTGTTGGGGGAGTCTAATTGCTGTCCTTGGTAAAATAATGAACCAACACTCTGAGAAATATCATCAAATATCAGATGATAATGGAATCTGTAAGACAAACTTGATTTTTCAAAATATGTAATTACAAAATTAGGGCCAGATTCTGAAATCTGATCTATTTGGGCGGATTCCCGAGTTCATATGTAGTCCCAGTGTTACATGCAAGTAAAAGGGTCCACTTGGGCTGATTAGGTTGTAGGATCAGGGCCTCACTGAAGCAAACATTTATGATGGGATACACTATCTCACAAAAATCTTATTTTCAGTATGACTTCCAATTGGCTTGGCTGTGAACAATCTCATGGGGAATGCTAGATGAATGCTAACAAAGAAAGGGATAGATGGAAATACATTGAACTGGGGAAGGTGTACACAGGGGTGCCACATGGTAAGGTGTTATATCCAATCTTACTTAACATCTTCATTAAGGTCCTGGGAGACTGGGTAAACAACATGTCAGCACAATTCACAGGTGGTACTAAATTGGGAAGCATTGCAAAGATGAGTGTGGACAGAAATAATAAAAAATTGACCCAGAAAGGTTAGAAATATGGGCCGGAAACTAAACCTAACTAAATAAAAGAGAGATGCGGTCTTTGAAAAATGAAAAGTGCGAGCTGATACATCTGGGGAAAAGAATTAAACACAGATCAATGGGGGAGGAAATGGAGAGATGTTGAGCAGCAAAGCTAAAATGCAATTTGGGTTGCATGTGAAGAAACAAGAGGACATGAAAATAATAATAGTCTACATATGGCTCAGGTTGTCACAGCACCTTTAATATTGTGCTCAGTCCTTAAATAACTTCAGCAGGGCCAGGATTTCACCTCTCATTTCTAGAAACATTGAAAAATTAGAGGGAATTCAAAGAAGAACAAGAAGGATTAAAGTGGTGAAAGGATTGATTTATGGGGAAAGAATACATGGCTTAGCAAAATGATAGTTTACTGTGGCGATTCAAAATAACAGGATACAACTAATTCAAGGATGCAAACACCAAGAAAGAGAAAAATTAGCTAGAGAGGTATAAGGAAAAATGGGATAATTAGGAAATGGAAAATGCAGATAATACTTTCTGACAGTGAGATCTATTAGATTATGGAACAGCCTCCCTCAGGAAGTAATAGACACCTCATCACTTGACATATTTTACATGTTCATAGGATAAAGCAATAACAACAGTAATTTTCAACTCATTTGTATTAGACACTACTTCTTTAGATAGAGGTCTTCTTTTAAAGGGCCACGTCTCTTCCCCTGCTCCCTAGCTTAATATTTATATTTGGTCAAATTATTTGTAGCAAGTAAATTATCAGATTCATTATCCCTTTTTTCCTGTTTGTGAGTCATACTCAAAGCCAATCTTGATTTGTCTGAATGATTTGTATTCATTAAACACATAAGTATTCACCAAATAGTTTCTGAGAAAAAATTACAAGCTACACTTGTTCCTGAACTGTTTACTTCGAATATTTATTACTCATAATGTGGGGACTGGGGATGGGTGGTCAGGCCAAATTGTTAGAGTCAGGAGCCTAGAACCAGAGCCAGGGTCAGAGTCAGGTGCCGAGCCAAAGGGCACAACCGGAGACAAAATCAGGAGTCAAGCCAGGGTTAGGGTGTAGGATCAGGGACCTGAAGTGAGGTAGGAAAGCGGGAACTGGGAACAGAGAGAGCATAAAGAAGGCAAGAACAGGCTGAGAGCCAGGAGTCAGGAACAGGCAGGGCTCAGGAGTCAGGCAAGTAGGCAGGGCCCATAGTAGGAGCCAGCCAGAGATTCAGTTAGCTACTCAGACAACTTCCTGTGCCACTTTCTGGTTTAAATAATATGTCCCAGCCAATTGGTGGGGCTGGACATCTACTCCAATCAGGAGCTTCATGGGCAGGGACCTTTGTGAGCTAGATCTTCACTAGCCCATGGGTAGTGGCCATGGTCTGAGCCCTGCTGCCTGGGAACCTTGAGGGCCGGGTGTGGAGCCTGCAGTCCCTCACACATTATATTGTGATTGGTCATGTCAATCACATGCTATTGAAATGACTGACACTTCTAAATGGGAGAACAATAAGAACATGATGATTAATGAATGACAAATAACTAATAGTGAGTAACAAGTGACAATAGGATGAAGTTCAGAATGCACAAAAATTTTCAAAAATAAACCAGCAGCCATCCAAATACTTACAATCAACCAATAAACGAATTTTGTGAATAAGTGCACATCGAACTTGCTATGTTTATTCATGAAAGTATATGCAAATCCCCTTTTGCATTATTCTCCCAACTCTACTGACCTCATACCTTTCCAATGTGCTTTAGCTGCATTTATAAGAAATTTTAGGACAGCATAAAAGTCGACTGTCCTGCCATTTTGTGTCTGTACTGTTTATTTACTCTCTCTGGCTAAGCGATTTTATTGGTCCTGAATTTTCCCCTGTTGCCTTTCTGCGTCTTTTTGCAGTTTGATTCTGTCCTCCAGTGTTTGCTGATCCTCCAGTTTTGATCGTGGTTGGGTTTACACCAAAGAAACACTCAACGAAGAAAGACATGAAACAGCTGTGCAGGATGCAGATACATACTTGTTATTCCGAGTTTAGTTGATCAAAATACCCCCTGGAACCCTCAAAAGAGTCCTGCGCTGGGCTACAAGTAGCAGGAAGTGTCACTGCTTGAAGACTAACTGATGCTTCACCATTGTGACAGAAGCAGCTCCAAGGGCTGCAGTTGGAGGACCACTGCATTAGAAAATACACTGTAGAAGTAAGCTTGCGTTGGCAGTGAGATGGACTAGATCACCTCCTATGTCTTTTATCAGCTCTAATTTCTATGATTTCATGAAGGATCAATAAGTAAAAGATTTACCCCATGGCATTTATGTTAAAAACAATACTCCGCTGTTGAAAGCTGTGGACCCTTTCAAATTACTAGGGCGGGGGTGGGGGAAAATTAGTTAGAGTTTGATGAAATACCAGCATTTACACACACAAAATTGCCTTTGGTCAGTAATGCTATGAAAAATGTATGGTTATCATTACTAAAAAAGTAGTTGTACAAAAATAAATAAATAAAGAGCTACCAGG